AGAGAGAGAGAGAGAGGAAAGAAAACATTAGGGAGGGCAACCACTAGAGAGAAAGAGCGAGAGAGATTATTGGCAGAAGTGTCCAGTGCACTCAGCCCAGGCGCTGGGGGGAGGGGCTTCAGGATCAGGAGGTTGCTATAACAACTGCACCTTGGTGGTTCTCTCCCCCCATGCTCTCTCTCTCTCTCTCTCTCTCCAGTCACATGAAAGCATTACCGTCTGTCTGAAGAGCTCTTCTGTCTTTCCCTCCCTCCCTCTTGTATTTCTCTCCCTCCCTTTATCCGTGTGCTCTCCCACATGGTGACTGAAGAGAGCAGGAGAGGAAGTGTGTTTGTGTGAGCTACTGAACACTTTAATAGGCAGTGAAATGGAGAAAAACAAACATCAGCCTCCCCCTTCTACACACACACACAGAGAGAGAGAGAGAGACTTTCTCTCTCTCTTCCTCTGTCTCTACCTCTGCTATGTGTTTTCTTAACCCTGCCATGTTAGTTAAGGCTTGGGGGAGGTTTTCTTGCCGTTCTTATCCTATTACGGTGGTTTTGAGCCAAATGCTGCGAGCTAGATGGGTCTCTGTCTGCGGCTTATGGCGTCGACTGTTACGCCATTCGTACTGTACCACTCGACCCCAGACGTCGGTGTCTGCTAGAGGGGGTTGGTGTTAAACATACCTAATTATGCCTCGCTTAGCATGCAGAGTCTTTGCATGAAGATGATCATTATTGATATCAATCATGTGCCACTCTGACGGGATTCATCACACGCGGACCGATATATGGGACAGGAATGGAGTGAGGAAATGCTTAACAAGTTTTTGAGGCAGTGAGAGGACATGTTCACACAGTATAATGTGTTTGTCAGTGCTGCTTTTTGTCATAATTATGGTTATTTTCACACAATTTAGGATGGCATGACAAAATAACCATAAAACACATTTTGTCAATACATATATATAGCGTTGTAGTTGTTGTTATTATTAATGTTATAATTTATGTATAACATTAATTACAATATAAAAAGTATTAATATGGCTATATATTTTTAAATGGGTACATTTACGAAATATAATTTCTATATAAAGAAATTCATATATTTTTTTGTTAACACTTTACAATAACATTAGTTAACTAAGAATGAACAATGCGTCTACAGCATTTATTAATCTTAGTTCATGTTAATTTCAACATTTACTAAATCAATTGTACATTATTAAAATGTATTTGTTAACGTGAATGCTCTGTGAACTAATATGAACTTAAATTAATGGGTGTATTTTTTTACATTTAACAAAGATGCATAAATACTTCAACAAATGTATTGCTCATTGTTATTTAACACATTGACTAGTGTTAACAACATACCTTATTGTAAAGTGTTTGCCACTTTATTTGACACCCCTACCTATTGTTATATGATTCACGAGTTTGAGAAAGGCGATTGACTTCGGTTACCTGTTCATACAGGCAGTTTTGGATATGCTTTTGTTTGTACAGGACCATTTCAGAATCACACATCTGTTTCACAAATTTTGTTGTCAGTCCCTAACACTGACTATAGGAACGTAGCCAGTTTTGTGTGCAACGTTGTTCTCCATTTCTACCTCGACTCTTTCTCTTCCTCCCCATTGCTCATTCTCTATATGTGAGTGACAGTCAGCCTAATCGTCTTTATGGCATGATAAACGGCATGAATATTGACAGCCGTCGTGACAATGGTTGCCTTGACAACCCCCTTAGCTGTTGCACATGACAGAGGTGTAACAATGAAAAATGCGACCTCGAGCAGACCTACAGTCAACAAGAAAGCAACATGCATATTTAAGCTTGCTACAGTATAAATTGTATGCTGTACGACTAGTGTGTTAGCATATAGAGGTATACTAAAACAGAAAGTATTTGTATGTGTGTGTGTGCCTTATTTTATCATGCTTATCTTCTTATTTTGCATAAAGCTAGCCGGTAAACATCAGCCTTTCTTGTTACCCATCATGATCTCGCTGTTCCTCTGGTCATGTAGAGAGAGAGAGACCGACTGAGAGAAAGAGATAGAAGGAGGGAGGGGGGACTAGACGTATTGCCTCAAAGGAGAGCTGGAGACTTCTCCATGAATCTTGTTGTTTCAGAATCTCATTTTGTATGTTTCTGTGGACTAGTGTGTGTGTGTGTGTGTGTGTGTGCACGCACATACGCACACATTAAAGTCCACTGGGATAAGCATAGAAGGTGGGTGGGATCCTGCTTGTATAGGGAGAGAATTTGTCGCTAATGTTCTTGCGGTTTGTCTACGTTCTGGGTTTACACACATATAGTCGCACACATTTCACTTCTGTAATTAACACACCGTTAAATGTGTTCACTGTGAGAGTCATTAGCACAAACGGGAAGATGAGGAGAGATAATGGGAAATGCTTTTCACCTTCTTTTCTATCCTCACCACCTCTGAGGAGGCATCTATCGCTCTTTCCTCGTCAATATTCGCTGTTGTTCATTCCCCACCACGCTGCCCTGCAATATTGAGCAGGAAAGGGACCGTCTTAAAAGGGGCACAACTGGATGTTAAAGTAATTATTTGTGAAAAAAAAAACTTGAATACTTAAGTTTACATTACGACTGCTCTCCCCTTATCATTTGTGGTTTATTGTGCAAATACATTTAAGGAAATAATGACATTTTTGAAGAGTTGTCTGCCATCCCTAACCTCTGTTGGCATGGACGTGTGTGTTAGTGTCTAGCATGCTTGTGGTGAGCGGCTTAGACACAGCTTAATGGCTGAGACAAATTAAGCAAAAGAGCATTTTGGGATGAAAGAGTGCCCATGTGTGAAAAATGAAAGTTCATTTTGCTAACGATTCCCTTCCCTCTATGGCTCTGTCTTTTCATGGTCTATCTAAATCTGAAGTGATAACTGACACCCATCACCTTCTTCTTTCTTTCCCCTATCAGTGATTTTCTGTGCAGTGACCATTAAAGGGATAGTTCACTTTGAAATTAATTTTTGATATGTTTTAGCTTACCTCAAGGGCATCCGAGATGTAGGTGTCTTTGTTTCCACAGTATTTTCAATTTTGACATTTTTCATTCAAACCGTTGTTGTCTATCAGTCATACACTGGAGGCTAAGGGGGTTCACCAAAAAGCATGCACAGAGAAGTCAAAATTAAACATGATTTAATGACTCGTAAATGTAAGTACACATTGATGGCCTAAGACACGAAACGAGTGGTTTTTGTGAGAAAACGAACAGTATTTATATTGTTTTTACCTCGTGTAATCACAGTGACGTCCAAGTGAACCGAACTGAATCAGTTCAATGTTACGCCGGAAGTGATTGCTTGCGTGTGACGTCACTCAATATTTACACGGAGATTTCGGAAGTTTTACCTTTTACTAAACATATTTAGATATACGGGAAAACCGCAATGGAAGACGATTTCGGTATATCTAAATATGTTTAGTGAAAGGTAAAACTTCCGAAATCTCTGTATAAACAAAGAGTGACGTAGGCGCGCAAGCGATCACTTCCAGCGCATGCGCAGACCAAAGCGCCCGTGCCGTCAGATCATTTTGTCATGGCTGTGATTACAAGAGGTAAAACGCTATAAATACTGTTCGTTTTCTCACACAAATCGCCCGTTTTGTGTCTTAGGCCATCAATATGTACTTACATGTACGAGTCATTAAATGTTTAATTTTGACTTCTCTGTGCATGCTCTTTGAGGAGAACCGATTGAGGACCCCCTTCACCTCCAGTGTATGACTGACAGACAACAACGGTTTGACCAAAAAATGTCAAAATTGAAAATACTGTGGAAACAAAGACACCTACATCTTGGATGCCCTTGAGGTAAGCTAAAACATATCAAAAATTAATTTCAAAGTGAACTATCCCTTTAATATGTTTGTCTGTGTGTGCAGTACAAGTAAAACTGTGCAAAGCTACATGTTTTCAAAATTGACAAGCCAATGGGTTAACTAGTCAGTCTTGAGGAAGCCTTGCATAATTAGGGTGGTTTCGAGTCCACCAGAACCTGATCTGATAGTCAGATTGAAGGTGTCCTTGTTTAAAATAAATAAAAGCCAGAGTTTTTTAATTTGATTTTTTTTTTCTTGCTCATCATAGCACCAAGATGCTGGAGAAGCAATTTTGATATATATATATATATGTGTCTGTGTGTGTGTGTGTGTGTATGTGTTACAAATTATTTGACATCACTAACTGGTTCTAACCAGTCATTCTGGCCCATCCCTACAGTAATTTGATTAGACGGAGTTTGATAAGCTTGTGGCTTTTAAGACTTTATACAGTGGCAAATAAAAGGACCTTCTTGTCTTCTGTTTTGAATTAGCCTGTTATTATCTCTTGAGAACTGTTTAAACCCAATCACCTGTGTAGATTATGGAAAACCAGTGTTGGAAGCATGGGCAGTTGCCAATGATCAGAATACCTGCCATCTTTTGATGTAAAGTATGTTCAGTTATGCAAGTGAATGTAATATCAATTCATGTCAATAATTAAGTAACTGGTTCACTTTTGTTTTACCGTTATACATAAAAATACAATGATGATCACGGGCTTAAAGCTTGTTCCATTGTGAGGTGTTTTACAATTACTTTTACATTTAATCAATTTGCAGACACTTTTATCCAAAGAAGAAATAAAATAAACAATAGGGCAACAATAAGTCCCAGTTAGTTTAGCTCAGTAGTCAGTACACGTAGCAAGGTGGTGTTATTGTTTTTTTATTTTTTATAGCAATATTACATATGTAAATTTTAGCATTCTGGTCTAAAAACCACTCTGACGTGTTTCTGCTTTGAAATGTAAATAATAGTTGGAATAATTCCATGCCTAACTATTTATTCAAGAAACCACTTCACTAGGTACCATTACAAGACATTGTGAATGTATGACAACAATATTCTTAAAATTGATTGTCCTTCGTAGGTTTTTATATACACCTGATGAAACCTTCTAACCATTATTCTTTTATTTCTCTCTCAGCTCCAGGAGACGGTGAAGAGGAAATTGGACAGTGCCCGATCTCCTTTAAATGGTGACCAAAATGGCCTAAGTGATGGGAGTTACTCTCCCACTACAAAGAGACTCCGTAAGGAAGGATGCACTGGAATGGACCCTCTCGGTAGCCTCCCACCCATTTCCCCACTTCATCCAATGGACATCAAGCCTACCTTGCCCTCGGGCAACAACAGTGCCTCCTCAAATAACGGAACCGGCAATGGCAACGCTGTTACTAACCATCTTACTGGACGACATGAGGATTTAGGCAAGAATGGTGGAATGCCTGATATTAAACTTAATGGCTCTTTGGATTTGGACGATGGCTTTGGCCTACTAAAGGACATGAAACAGGAGCCTTTGGATGATGGCGGTGGAATAGAGTCCTCGGAAACGTCGCTTTCAAATCAGAACAAGCTATTCTCTGATATCAATCTGAATGACCAGGAATGGCAGGAACTGATTGACGAGTTGGCGAATACGGTGCCTGAGGATGACATGCACGACCTCTTTAATGAAGACTTTGAGGAGAAGAAGGAGGTGAGCGACTTCACACGGGCCACGACAGAACAAACGCAGCTTGCACAAGACCCAGCACCTAACTCTGTAGCTTCGGCACCCAACAGTACACCGCAACCGCAGAGTGGACGGATACCCATGGGGTCACCTCAGGTGCGACCATCTTCCTCTGGTCCACCATTTGCAACTGCTGCCAATGGGACACCGCCCCAGCAACCCTTGCAGCAGTCACCAGCAGTTGGAATGCCATCAGGGTCGCCTGCTAACTGTGTGGCTCGTTCTCCGCAAACGCCCACCCAAGCGCAGACCCAGGCCTCGAGGCCTGGGAATGGATTTATGATGAATGCAGGTCCTGCCGTTGGCCCAGTGGGATCAACTCCAGTAACGGGAGGTGGCCCTGGATCAGGGGGAACAGGTGGACCAGCCCCGCCCACCTCTGAACTTTCACCGGCTGAGCAGCTGAAGCAAATGGCTGCCCAACAGCAGCAACGTGCTAAACTGATCCAACAGAAGCAACAACAGCAGTCCCAAGCCGCAAACTGGTCACCTGCAGGAGCACCAACAAGCCCATACAGTGCACCCTTTAACCCAGACAAACCAAATAGCCCCATGATGTATCCGCAGGCTTTCAATTCTAGCAACACAATGGGGCCAAAAACACCAAGCATGAACAACTACCTCCCACAGAACCACATGAACATGCTCAATCAGCAGCAGCAGCAGCAGCAGCAGCAACCTAATAACTTGACTGCCCAAAACAACCTCAATAAGCAGCTCTCTTATAGCAACACCAAGCCGCTGACTCATTTCAGTGGAGTAGACCATATGAGTCAGCGTATGACGCCGCCGATGGCCAATCAAGCCAAAAACCCGATGATGCCCTACATGCAGGGCACCGCAGGGCAAGGGGGTGGGCAACCACAAGTTCCAGGTCCAATGCCCAACCAGACAGCCCATTTAAGTGAAGAACAGAAGAGGATGATGATGATGAAGCAAAAAGTGCTGACTCAAGGCATGCCGTATGGCTCTATGCAGCAGCATGTACAGGTAAGATTCGTGATCTTTGTTCATGCCATGTTATGGAAGACTAAAACCAAGTGCTGCTGTTGCATTTTCATTAATATTTAAATAAATGAACATTTTTGTGCAGGGCTACAGTTGTGAATTAAGTGTTAAGGGTTAATCTTTATATGGTCAGATGGTAGTTGTTGTTACAGTGAGCTGTTGGCTTTAAGGCAAAAGTGTTTAGTGTACTATATCTTTGTTAGTTTGCTTGGATCAAGCACATTGGTTTTACATTTTGTTGTGATCTGACTTGGTGGGTTTTTGGATAAATTTACATATTTCTATCTATTGAACTATGTCAGTGGATGCATGCTAGTAATAACTTTCTAAAAGCTTTTGGCAAAAAGAAATAGCTTCAAGCCTTCTAATTTCTCTTTACCTTTTTTATTCAAATGTATTTAAAGTCCATTGGTCTCTACACAGTCTATACACTGACCATGTGGTGCATTTTATACACAAAACTATAAATCACTATATCAATCTACTATGCTCCTGAAAACAAAGGTGTACAAGGTTCATGCAATGAATGCTGTTGAGGAAGAGTTAATTACTGGATTTGTTTATTGTTTTAGTTAGGCAGAATCTTTGGAGATATTCAGAGGTTTTTTGCTTTGTTTATCAGGTACTTGGCAGCAGGTAAATTAGATATCAATGAGTGAAACTGTTTATCCCTCTGTTGTTTTTTAGTTATGCCTGTCAAATAGTCTGTACTACTTATTTGAGTAGTCACATTCACCACCATATATTTGTATTGTGTTCTTTGTACAGTTGCTCATGGTTACAGCTGAACCATTATTTACATTATTTTCACACACTATTATTGTGGTATAATCAGATTAATTCAGATCAACCCTCCCCAAAATTATAAACAAACATCAGTTTTATTCTTCTTGTCTAAGTGGATGGTATAAGATATAAAATGAAAAATGGACCACATTTTTGCAGTTTAGTCAAAGTTCTGACTGTACAAAACTAAAAGCTAACACCAGCAGCCATATCACCCTGTAGCCCAAGACTGGTTATCCACTGAAACTAAGCAGGGTTGATCCTGTTCAGGACCTGGATGGGGGACCTCTTTAGAAAACTAGGTTGCTGCTGGAAGAGGTACTCACCCTGTGGTCTGTGTGGGTCCTAATGTCCCAGTATAGGGTATGGGGACACTAAACTGTTAAAGGCGCTCTAAGCGATGTTGGGTGACGTGACTTCTTGTTGACGTTTAAAGTATTTTCAAACAAAACAGAGGCTAGATAGACCCTTCCTCCTCCTCATCTGCATACTGACCCCCCAAGCCCCACCCCCAGGGCCTTCTTGTCAGTTATTGGCTGGAACAGTGTGTTATGTTTCGTGGAGCGGGTTGCCGCAGTTTGTTTTTGTTGCCATTTGTGGAGCCTGGGTTGTCTGCATAGACCGCGTTTTTTTACAGTGTGTTTAGGGGACAGGCAGCTACCGGACAGTGAGGAGATGCTTGCTGTATGTGACAAAAAATGTTTGGGCCTAAAAAACATGTAACATCACTTAGAGCACCTTTAAAAAGCACCATCTTTCGAATGAAACGTTAAAGCGAGGTCCTGACTCTCGGTGGTCATTAAAAATCTGATGTCCTTTGAAAAAGAGTAGGGGTTTAACCCTGGCATCCTGACATAATTTTCCCCCTGGCCTGTGTCCATATATGGCCTCATAATAATCCCATATATATATATATATATATATATATATATATATATGGTCATCTCCCTCTCCACCAATAAGCTATTGTGTGGTGGGCGTTCTTGCGCAATATGTCTTCTGTCGCATCCAGGTGGATGCTGAACATAGGTAGTGGTTGAGGAGATTGCCCCCTGCCATATTTAAAGTGCTTTGAATACTGAGAAAAGCGCTGTAGAAATGTAACATTATTATTATTAATATTATTACGTTAAGACAACGTTTCAGCATTGGGGAGTTTGCGTAGAGACCTGTTATAAGTCGAACCGATTGGTCCTTACCCATAACTCTGGATTTTATGTCTGTGTTGTGCAGTGGGACAGTAATGGTTCCTGTTGCCCTGAGCAACAGCTAGCTCTTGGAATAGGAAATCGACACTCTGTAATATATTTATGCCTATGCGCCAACCTCTGATGTCCCCGTGGCCGCCAAAATCCCTTTTCCTCATCCTATCCTTGGATAAAAGGATGCCTTCTCTCTTCTTTCAGTTTCAGGAATTGATAGTATCAGTATTAGTATTAGATAGTGATAGTATTTTCAAATAATTTTTACCATGTTCATTGAAATGTCACTGCCATTTGCTCATTGGTTGTAACCATTAGCCTTCAGTCAACAGCTAATGAGAAATGTAAGATTTGTTTCTATTTGTTGCATAATTATCTAACACAATTTCTTCGTTAGACTACTGTTTACTAAAAAAAATGTCAGCCAAGAGTGCTAGAATGCCTTTTGTTATGATAGGGTAATTGTGCGGGTGGTGGTCTCAGTTATTGGAGAGGTCTCGAGTCTGTTAGCTTCTGAACTGTAAATTATTCTCATTAATGGTGACATCCTCAGCCCCTCCCAGGCAGCCTCTCTCCTCCTTTCATTTTATCCATCTGTTCATTGGGTTCTGTTGCTCTTGCTCTGAGATTAGATATTCCTCCACCCCTTTTCGTCTTTTTTCCCTCTTCTCCTGCATCTCCCATGCCCCCACCCCCTCTCTTCCCTCGTTCTCTCTCCTCAGAAGCAATAAAGGGGTAGATTTATGATGGTTGGTTCTTTTGCAGCCTGAGGAAAATGCAGCAGAAGAGCAAAATGAGGTTGAGAGAAATAAAAGAGAGAGAGAATGAGAGAAAAAGCAGAATGAAGGTAGACCATAAGTAGAAGATGGTATGAATTATGGAAAAGGTGTAAAAGAAATCAATGGCTAAATTAGAGGAAGGTATTATGAAAGAGGTTGTATGTAGAGTATAAAGAAGAGAAATTTCAACTCATTTGTAATTTTGCCGCCTCCCAAATACACAAGTGATGAAACATTGCAGTTTTGCTTTTTCTCAGTTGAATTGGCACTGGCAAAAATGTCGTCTTGTGTTCTTTGTCCTGAAATACATTTGCTCTATGTACTCGACTGAAGAAAAATGCTAGTTTCATTGCTTTGAATGTAGTAGATATAATTGGCAAACATTTGCTAACTCCACACACTGTTTTCTCAGACCAGCCAGACTGGTGTCTTCATCGCTAATGCTAATTTTTGTTTTTGCCTGAGGTCTGCATATCAGAACTACTCCTTTGCTTCCTTTTAGTGCAGCATCGTTTTCCCATTCTTACAGTTATTAGTAGTAAATGTTGTTACGCACAAATTAAAACAATAATGGACCTGCAGTGAAATAGCTAGCAAAATACTTTATGATTTGTGTTAACTAGCCAAAGGGTTTTTAGCTTAGCTCAGGCACTACATTCAGACAATTTGCATGCAATGTGTGCTTTTCACAATATGACTTTTACACATTGCTGATGTCCCTTTTGTCCATATAGAGAACGTGCACTGTTAAAAATGAGGAACGATCCTAGAAATAAGCTTTTTCACTAGTTCATAGACTTTTGGATCACCCTGTGTTTGATTTATAAAAAATAAAATGAAAACAACAATGATGTAATAGTTTTCCATATATTCGGTGTCAATTGACCGTTCGCAACGACCCGCCCCCCTTAGTTACTGTGTCTATGTCCGACAAGCTACACTCGCTCTCACGCCACACCACGTTCTCTAACGCAGTGAAAAATACATCCCGGAGCAGAGAGGAGACTGACACGCTGACAGACAAGACAGACCAGGTTACTTTCGATATTAAACATATTAAACAAAGTCTCATCTTTCAAATTTGTTCATTTTTTTAAAGAAATTTAAACAATAAAAACCGTTTTGTGGCTCTTTAATGTGTTGTGACGGATCGCTGTAGAGCATCAGTTAAAGGTGTTAGTTCAAATCCTCCCATGTTAATCTACTATCTCTCCTGACTGCTTTGTCGGACAAAATGGCGGATGACGAAGTGGTCAGATCACCTGTCAATCAACCTCCCTGCGAAGGGTCAATTTGTGGGCGGCTTACTTTAAGAATACACCATTACTTTTATTTGTCTTGATACTCTGCTTGCACGGACTCTCATTTGGAGTTTTTGATTGGATAATGCATTTTGAATTTAGCATCTTATTGGATCTTTCATCTAAACAATAGACAAGCCATCAGGTTATTGATTAAAGAGTGGTGGAGGCTGTTGGTGGACAGTCAATGGATGGGGGTGGAATCCCAATTAGCAATATTTATGGATGCTTATGAAGGTAGAGACACTCAGTAAAAGCTTTCTTATAGTGGCTTCCTTGAACACACATTCACAGAGTTCAGAGTGCATCTAGTGGTTTGGTTTTCTAGTTCTCCTTTTCTTTCGTACACAGGTGGCAAAATGGGCGAGTTTGCATAATCTTATTATTGTGTGATTATGAAACTTTAGCACGGTCCTTTAAAAGCTTGTTAGTCAGGCTTTGATTGTCACTCCATGCCATTTTGCATATCGCTGTGACTAATTTATAAGAGGGGGATCAAAGGTAGAGAAGGGGAAACTGTATGGTGGGCTGTGTTTGTGTATAAATGTGTGCTAGGGCTAATGCCATCGTAAAGCTTATGTGTGAACTAATAGGCTAGATGTTTAGGGCTTTGGATATTAACAGTGGGGTGGCGCTTAATGGGCACTGGGCAGTCAGACTTTCAGTTAACAACATGGATAATTTTTATGAATGGTACTTGGCAGAACAAAACTTCTTGCCACAATAATAGTGTTTTGTGAGTGATTGCTAGGGTGTCATGGATGGTTGGGTGTTTACTATGTGATTTCTAAGGTGTTCTAAGTGTTTTTATCTATGCATTTTAGGTGGTTGGGTGGGCTTTGCTTGGTGGTTGCTTGGATGTTAAAGGTGCTCTAAGCGATGTCACATGTTTTTTAGGCCAAAACATTTTTCGT